GGACTAACAGTTACCAAAGGGAAAGGGACTGGGGAGGATGGGTGGGAAGGGAGGGATAAGGGCGGGGGAAGAAGAAAGAGGCCTTACGATTAGCATGTATAGTGTGTGGGGGGCACGGGGTGGGCTGTGCAACCCAGAGAAGACAAGTAGTGATTCTACAGCATCTTACTATGCTGATGGACAGTGACTGAAGGGGTATGTGGGGGGGACTTGGTGAAGGGGGGAGCCTAGTAAACATAATGTTCTTCATGTAATTGTAGATTAATGATATAAAAATAAAATAAAGAATATATGAAAGACTGTTGTAGGTAATTAATTCTGTTTAGTATATTGATTCACCTATAGTATTAATTCTACTTAAATATTTGTGAAGGAGTGTGTTAATTGTGGAGGAGTGTCATGCCTGGAGATTAGAAAAAGGAGAACCAGAGGACCATTTTGTCTTTCTGAGACAATTTAGGAGAGTGTCTTACCCAACCAGTACGTGTCTCCTTTAAACATATCCCTGTAGTTAAAATAGGTGCCTCAATCCAAGTTTGTGATTATCATAAATTACAACCATCCAGTTAATTACAGTCTATGCCCACCAGGTGATCTTCTGATTATAATTAGTTCCCTAAGAAATAACTAAGGGAAAGAATGTGTGGAATTAAAAATTTTACTGTAGTTTTATAAATTAATAAACTGGCCTCTTAATCAATGTTAAAGTCTCTGTGAGTGAACTTGTCATTAAATAGTTCATCTAAACCCTATTAAATCTAGGTTTACTGCCAGATTGGGCTTTCAGACTACAAAACTGAGAACCAGATCCTGAAATATGCTGACCTTGCCAAAACTACTTGTTCTTGTAAGACCTTGCTTGAAAAGGTGACTTTTCTTCATAACATTCCCACTTGATCTCTTTATTCCCACTCCCCCTTTATTATTCATGGATTCTTTTTTTGTTGTCATCGGTGCTCAGTTTTTGCTTACTGAGAAAAAGTAGTAAGGATCACTGTATACAAGGTGAGGTTAATTTGGAAATAGTTAAAAGAATATATGAAAGAATAGCCAAGATATGGAAGCAACCTAAATGTCCATCAGTAGATGAATGGATAAAGAAGATGTGTTACATATACACAATGGAAGTTGGAAACATTTAGTAAACCAGGCATTCATCTAAGCAAAAAAGAAAGAAAATAGGGAATTTGCCCTCAAAGAGCTTTGTATCTAATGGACAGAACAATAAATTATTAATAATATATATTAGTACCATGGATCTTTGACATTTAGTAGGCTCTAATTTTAGATCTCTTTGAATCTTCAGGTTTACTGCAACATTTACTTTCCCTCATGAACTATCATAAAATATAATTCAGAAGTGTAAATGATTGGAATCCTTAATGATGCTATAAATGCAAGATTTTAAATCATTTATATAGTTGTTAAAATAATCCTACCACTTTAAAGTTTCTCTCTCAAAAAGCAGTTATTGTTATTAATAATTTTTGTACTGATGGGAGTACTCTAATAATTTCACACTGCTTTTTTTATATCTACATTAAAGTATATGTGATCTTATTCTCAAATCTAAATTAGGGAAATTCAATGTCTTGCATGTATCCTAAACTTACATTTTCTGATTAAGAACCCTCCTTTTCTTAAATTTTTCACTTGCTACACATTTCTGTCTCTGTAGCATTGTTTGATTAGCTTCTTACTCAAGATAATTTTAAAAATCTTAGTAAAGACACAAAGATACTAAGATACAAAGACTTAGATACTTTGTATCTTAGTAAAGATGCAAAGATAAAAACTAAGATACAGTTGAGAAACAATATGCTGCATATAATAAAGGTATACAATTTGATAGTTCATGACTTAAATATACACTTGTGAAACCATTACTGCAATCAAGGAAATGAACGCATCCATCACCTGGAAAACTCCCTCATGCCCCTTAGTCCTTCCTCCCACCCTTCCCACATCACGCCATCCCCAGGCAACTGCTATTTTATGTTATTGTAGATTCACTTATCTTTTTAGTTTGTATTGAAGTATTTAATATATTAAAGTGTACAAAGTTGTTAAAACATTTAGAATATATTGGGAGCAAGGAAAAATTTAATACACCAAAGATTAAACGTAAAGGGAAATTGTTTTAAAATTGTTACATTGATGGTATATGTTCATCAAAAGACATGGAAGATAAGCCACAAACTAGAAGATGATAGTTTTAATTCATGTACTGAAAGGTTGCTAAAGCTGAGAAGGGTGTTGAGTGTGCATGTGTGGGGCATTTTTTAGATGAGAGAGATTCTGAGTACATTTGAATGTTGATGGGAAGAAGGAAAGATTGGAAATACTAGAGAAAGATAGTATGATTGATGGAGTGGAACGCCTGAAGAATTGGGAAGATGTGGAATCCAAAATACATGAAGAAAACTTAAGATACTTGATTAAGCATTAGCTTGTAAATGTCTCAGAGTGATGACTATCATTTTCATTGCTCTCCCCACGAAGCAAATATAGACTTCCTTCCACAACTAGTATTTGTCAATCCTTTTCCATGCCAGGCATGCTGAGGATACAGTGGGGAGCAAAATTAGACCCAGCCTCTGCCTTGTGAGTTATAATTCATCAGTGGAAACACATTCATTTAAAACATGCAGTGTTTTTGTTTGCAAACTTTCTGTATCTTTTGTGCTTTATTTTTTAAATTTGCTTGAATAGATAGCAAGGAAATGGACAAACTCAAGACTCCCCGCTCAGTATAGGGATTAATAAGAGGAATCTATTTGTCCTTCACTAAATTGAAGCCGTGTGCTGAAAACTCCAGTCACCATTGCTATTTTATCGTTGCCGCTTTTCTCCCTAGTGAATCCCAGCCAGTGTTCAGTGGGCATTTGAACTGTGTGTGGCTCCTTTTACCTGCGGATCATGCAGAGAGCTTCACGTCTGAAGAGAGAGCTGAACCTTTTAGCCACAGAGCCACCCCCAGGCATCACATGCTGGCAAGATAAGGACCAAATGGATGATCTGCGAGCCCGTAGGTATCACATTATTCTGGTGATGAGAGTCAGGACCCTATTGAAGATTGTCTAAAATTTGAACATTTGCATGTTTTTAAAGTAGGAAACGTTTGCAAGATCAAAGTGCCCCGCCCTCATCCTACCCTACTTTGTTTACATTTATAAAAGATTTGCTCGACATTTCTTCTTTGGCCTTTATTATACCTTCTGATTTGTAGCCAAGATTTGGGCAGCTCTGAAGCAGTGTTTAGACCAAAGGTCACTGTCTCAAATATCTATAAAGCCAGACAGGAAAGATAAATGATAATAGAATACTGCCGTCCTAACAAAACAGATCTGCAGTTTGCGTTTGATCTGTGGCCAGCATTTTCCAGCTTCTGTTCCGACCTTCTGTATGTCTTTGATTTGACACCAACTTTTTGGTACTTTGGTGCATTGCATAAGGGCTTGTTAAAGCCCTGAGAGGGAATTAGTGTCCTAGACCCAGCTTCTCTGTTAGGACCATTGACTTCGTTAGGTCCGTATGGCGTGGTAATTCATAGCATCCGATTGCCTCTTCACTTTTTTCTTTTTCTTGTTTTTTTTTAAAGAAATATTAGGTGGAGCCAACACACCTTACGAGAAAGGTGTTTTCAAGCTGGAAGTTATCATTCCTGAAAGGTTAGTATGAATTAGATTGTAAATTTGCAGGGTAAAACACAGCTCTTGGAAGACAGCAATGTAGTAGAGTGCTTAATGTAGGCATTAAAGGATGTGGATTTTAATCCTAGTCTTACCATGACTTACTGTGACCTTGGGCAAGTTATTTTCTCTCTGGAGTTCAGTTTCCTTTTCTAAAAAAATTGGCTAGATAACATTTGGGGCCCCTTCTTATTTTCATCATGATAAAATACACATAACATGAAATTGACCATTAAACCATCTTCAAGTGTGTGGTTCAGTAGCATTAAATATATTCACATTGTTGTGCAACCGTCAACATCATCCATCTCCAGAACTTTTCATCTTCCCAAACCGAAACTCCATACCCGTTACACAATAACTCCCCCTTCCCTCCTTCCCCTGGGGCCTGGCAACCACCATTCTACTTTCTGTCTCTTTGTTAAATACTCTTAATTCAGGTCTCCTTTAAGTCTCTCATTAGGTGAGTTGTAGTTTTGTCAGAATGGAGAAGGGAAAAAAATGAAGCTCTAAACATTGATCTGTAGACATCTATTCACCAGATCAGATCATAGCCAAACTTGTTAAAGGCCTGAGAGACATTGGTAAAGTCCTGGCCGACATAGTAAGCACCGCATTTCCTCCACAACACAGACCCTGTTTTCTCTATAACCTCTGACTTGCCGTTTGTGAGAGGGCAGCTGGAGCAGTTTAATAATCATGTGGTATTTTGAAAATAGACCAGGAATTTTCCAAGGTTTGTTTCACCAGAGACATAGTAACCAAATGCAATGTATAAATCTTAATTGGATCCTGATTTTCAAAACCTAGCTGTAAAAAAATTTGGAGGGACAACTGAGGCTATCTGAGTAGATGATATTGTAGGGAATAATTTTTAAATTTTTTCATAGGTATACTGATAGTATTGCAGTTATATAGGAGAAGGGCCTTATTCTTAGGAGATACATGCTAACATGTTTAGAGGGTGAGGCACCCTGATCCAGGTGGTGGGTATATGAGTGTTTTTACTACTGTTATTTCAACTCTTCTATTGTTTATAAATTTTCATAATAAAATTTTGGGGAAAAAAAAGGGTTTGCCTCTCAAAGGCTGTCTTCCTGGTTAGTTACTAGAAAGCTGTTTATAATGTATTTAGAAGCAATATCTTAATAAAAATTCTCTTATGCTTTCAAAGGTACCCATTTGAACCTCCTCAGATCCGATTTCTGACTCCAATCTATCATCCAAACATTGACTCTGCTGGAAGGATTTGTCTAGATGTTCTTAAATTGCCACCAAAAGTGAGTGGTGGGTAAAGGGTTGACAAGAGCTTTCTGTGGTCCTCGTCTATAAAACTAGAATTAGAGTATCACATTCTCAGTGATACAAAGCCACTGCCTGCCTGTCTGTGTGTAGGGTGCCTGGAGACCATCCCTCAACATTGCCACTGTGCTGACTTCTGTTCAGCTGCTCATGTCAGAACCCAACCCTGATGACCCACTCATGGCCGACATAGTAAGTACTGCATTTCCTGTGCAACACAGGCCCTGTTTTCTCTATAACCTCTGACTTGCCGTTTGTGAGAGGGCAGCTGGAGCAGCCGGACCTTACCACTGCAAATAGTGTTTCTCTCCATTCACTCTTCTTTCGTTTTGTCTCAGTCCTTCGAATTTAAATATAATAAGCCAGTCTTCCTCAAGAATGCCAGGCAGTGGACAGAGAAGCATGCAAGAGAGAAACAGAAGGTACGATGTTTATACAGCTCTGATTTTGCTATTGATGTTAGTCCTTTATGTATGTATGTATTTGTATATGTATGAAGATATGCATATGTGTGTATGTATGAGATTTGCCAAATTTATACTGTACTCAACAATGTCTACTTGATTTTTTTATTCTATTGCAACCTTCTAAATTCAACAACATAGCCTAGCAGTTCAACCAGTAGATTTTTCCTAATGCTTGTCATCAGTTGACAACACTAGAGGGCAGACAGCATCTGGTTAATTTTGTTTATGTTATCGGAGGTGGCATGGTTAGATGAGAGATGACTCAGATTCTTTTTTTCTGAGTTTTCTAACACTGAGAAGGGACTATATTTTGTAGGGATTAATTGTAGGAATTGGAAAGGGGTAAGGGCTGTGGGAAGGAGAGGAAAATTAAAATTCTTGTGGGACCATTCGTGGAAGAGAGAATGAAAAACTTCCCCAGTTTAAGTTGACAATGTTTCCTCATTTAGTACAAGTTGCAGGAACACAGATTAGCACATTGTGGTTCTTGCTGAGTTATAGCCTTCAGACTGAGTTAAGTAGCAGTTACTTGCAAAAGGAAATAAAAAATTAAAACATACAAAATATCGAGGAAGAGGCTTCTGGAGGGAATATCACATACGAAAGGCAACAAAGTACCCGGCAGGGAGATCGCAGCACCCCGCTGTTCTCTCTGCTGGCGGCGGGAGCCGTGCTGTCTTTTACCCTGCCTGCTCTTTTTCAGGCCGATGAGGACGAGATGCCTGATAATCAGCCAGAGACTGGTGGCTCAGAAGCACACAGTACGACACAGAAAAGGAAAGCCGGGCAACTGGGAGGCACAGAAAAGAAATTATGCCCTGACGGTTAGGGGTTTGCCCTGGTCCGTCTTAGTTATTTATCCTTTGCCAGGGTGGTCTAATTTACCTACCTTTCTTGAATGTTTTTCTTTGTATTTGAAGACATTATCATTTTTGTATCCTATATAATAGACCTTGTATATTTTCTGCCCTACATTGATTCTTTTGAGTATAGTTTATTTAGCATGTACATGCATATTTTGAAAGCTTTTAAATCTGAAAAATAAATAATCATTTAATGTTGAGTATGTGTTTATCTTAAATGCGTGGGAGAAAATTAGCCAGAGAGCTATACAGTAGGAATGTCAAAATAATTGGAATTGTTGTCCTTTATTTTACCAACTTAGTAACATCACTAGAGATACTGAATGTTTGACACAGATTTAAAATAGCTGTTAGGAACAGTTCAGTTACCACTAGGCTTTTAGGGATTTTAGGTTTTTAGAAGTCTTAACATAATGTGGGGAAAAGGTTAATATACCCATTTGTTAATTTTTTTGTAAGCTTTCACTTTTTGTGAGTTGTATAGCTTATTAGAATTACTATGTAGAACCCCCATTTGTCCAACGAATTGGACATTGAACACCTACTATGTGCCAAGTATTGTGCTAGTATTTTAGAATATAAGGGTGAGAATATCAGACATGGGATTAACCCAATAATTGCACAGATTTAAAATAGGGATTTCTACAATCCTTTCCGTGCCTGGCCTCACTTCATGATAAGTACTGCTACGCACAACCAGGTGCCAGACTTGAATCTGCTACTCGTGATTTGATAATACACTTGGACTTGTCTTTATTATTCTATTTAGATGACAGAGAACAGATTCGAGCAGAAACAGCAGAAAAGAAAACAGCCGTTATCCTGTGTCCATGCCTCCAGGCTTGACCTTCTGCAGCAAGAATAACCTTTTGAGGATGTAAAAGCCAGATTTTACTATCTCCCTTAAAACCCTCCAATTGGCTTCCTTTAGCAATTAGCGGGAAAAAAATGTGTTTTCTCTCCCTGGCTTACAAGACCCTGATGTCACCCCTGGCCCGTTTGCTTTGTCAGTCATCCTTACCGCAGACCCTCCACCCCTGATACACCACACTCCAACCACACTGGCCTATTCTCAGTCTCTTGAACATACCGAGCTCAGAGTCTTCACATATTCTGTCAGTTCTGCCTTCTACGTGGCCCATGATGGTCTCAGTTCAAATGCAGGTGCCCCAGAAAATCCTCGCCTGTCCATCTAACGGAGCACCTTAAGCCCCAGGCCCTCTGGCCCATAGTCCATTGCCCTGATTGATGTTATCCATAGCACTTGCACCTGCCCAAAAATGTGTCCACTGTGTGTATATTGTGCTGGGCATAGTGGCTACAAGGGACTTTCCTCTAATCACAAGAAATACCAGAGCTGAAAGTTATTAGACATCATCCAACCATCTTTCTGACTTAACAAGTATAGAGGACTAGGGCTAGAGAATAGAAGGGGGAGAAAATGAAAATGAAAAAAGCCCAGGTCTCCACTCTCAGCCCAAGGAAGGATGGGAAAAGGTTAAAAGCAGGGTCAAGCTGACCCCGGTCCAGCCCGGGCAATGCTGCTTGCCAGCTGTTCGCCCTTAGTGTGCTACTCAATGCCTCCGCTTCGGGTTTCTCCCATAAAGCAGCAATAACGATAGCCTCTGATTCCTGAGGTGGTTGTGAGATTGACAGAGACGGTGCACTGAAGTACCCAGTACAGGGCCTGGCAGCGTGCTGACATTCTTTGAGTGCTTAGCAGGGGACTGGAGCGTGGAGACAGCAGTCCAGCCCCAGGTGGGCCCAAAGAACCTCTCTGCCTCCTGATTACTCTGCCCTGTTCCCAGGACAAGCAAGTGAGCAGAGTTTCTCAACTCCAGACTGCTAATTAAAGAGGAGAGATGACATCCATGACTGATCATATAAACACTGCAGATTCCAAGCTCCCTCTCCCCCGCTGCTCCCCAAAAGCTATCTAAATAAGAACAGATTTTGCCACCCACCTTGTGGGCAGTCCCTAAGCTAAGGCTGGGGACTAGCTATTTATCCTTCAGCTGCTTCGGGAATTCAACACATACAAATAAAGCTCCTTTCCAGCCAAGTGTGTATTTTTCCATCAGCGTGTGGCCCCCCTGCCCACACTGTCTTGTTTAGGTTGGGGCAGCTGAGGGAGGGGTGGATGGGCAGGGACTGCGGGGCTGTGGTTTCAGAACCTGTTCCCCAGGCTGGCCACAGCGCAGCTTGGAATCTGGCACAGAGCTGCCAGTGAAGCCGCAGAGGCTGCGGAGAGGCCGGGTGGAGGGGCACAGATGCACCATGCCCCGAAACGGCACATTCCACTTTCTCCTTGCTGCTTGGCAAGTTGCCCCTGGCTCCTGCCATGGCCCCCAAAGAGCACCCATCCCTCTCCAACTCGTAGTTCCTAATAGGGATGACGATTTTCTCACCTTAGCTCCCACCCCTGATCCAGTTTCTCCCTGCAATGTGCCCACTCCCTGCTTGCCTTCCCCCGACCCTCCATCCCGCTGGGCCGCACCGCCTCCCCTCCATTGCCCGCATCCTTTACCTGGGCCCTTGCTCCCCTGCTTCAAAACAGGCTGCTGAGGGATCTTTCCCCAGGCCTTCCATCTAGGTTCCAGATGGGGGAATTCTGTTTCAGGAGTGGCCTGAACAGGGTCAGGGGGTGGAGTGTCCCTTCTGGGGGAAGAGCCAGCTTTCGCTCTCCTGAGGCTGACCACTGATTTCTGAATATGACAAGGTCCCCTCATACTGTCACCCCTGGGCTCCCCTGCGGGCCCCCAGGCTCCGGCCTCTGAGGAGCAGCCCCTCTGGGGGCTCTTCCTTTCCCTTTCCAGGTGTTCTTGAGGCTGAGCAGGCAGACCATTGGCAGTCCCCAGACAGTCCCCTCGTTTCTGGGATTGAGTAATAATAATAGCAGCTGACATTTCTCAAGTACTTAGTATGTGCCAGGCACCAAGCTAAGCATTTTACATGAAAAATCTTTTCATCTTTTCAGTAACCTTCAGAGCTTAGGTACTGTTATACCCATTTTACTGATAATGAAGCAGACTCAGCAAGGTCAAGTAAAACCTTAGAACAACTGGATTCAACCCCAGGCCTGTCTGACTCCAGCGTCACATTTAACAACTGCAGGGCTCTGTTCTGAAACGTATGTGTCTGTCTCCTCGGTTCCCTCCAGAGAAGCTGCAGATACTGGGCAGCTCCTCCCACTGTTTGCTCCTCTACAAAATGAGGAGGGGGCTTAGGTGCTCTCTACGGTGTCTCCCAAGGCTGACTCTCAGCAGGCCTGTGATCTGAAAGTCTCAGAGATCCAAGGGCAGAGCCTGCAGACCTCAGGTTCAGTAATGAAGGAAGGACGGTTGGACTCGGTCACCTTCTCACCCTCCCTTTCTGTTCATTCTCTCCCTTGCTCCAGCATTCTCCTGCCCTTGGCCTCCCACCCCGGGGCCACTAACCCCACCCGATACCTATCCACACAATCCTCCTCGCCTGTCAAAGGTCCCATCAGCAACTGCCCTCTTCACCCTAACGGCTGAGGAGGGGTCAGTGGGTTCACTCCTGGGCCAGGGGTGCGGGGGTAGCAGAGGGGGTTGTTCCAGAAGCCTCAGCAAGTGACCGAACTCCAACAATCTCTCTTGAGCCAACAAAAGTCATTGTTTCACAAACTGAGAAGTCCAAACATACTTGCAGCCATGTCATTAGGAGGACTCGAGCTATGAGCCCATCCTTGGACCAGTCACTGAAGCTGGGAAGGGAAGGAGCTGAGAGGCCTGGGTCACATCCCACCTCTGGAACGTGGAGCGGAGTCAACCGCCCTGCACCACACGCACCGGAGAGCAGTGGGGAGAGCCGCCTGCAGGAAAGCCAGACTGGTGTTACTGCCGGAAGGGGAAGTGGTCCCTGGGCTGACTAAACGCAAAGGGCCTCATCTGAAGGAATAAGGAAGGATGGTGGTGGAATTTCAACCACTGTCCTACTGCAGTAGCGTAATAGAGAAGAAAGTCAGGGAACTAATGGCTCTTCAAACCTCACCCTAGACCTATCTGCCCACTCTGCTTTCTTAGAAAGGCCCTGCCCAAAGGGTATGACAGACCTGGGGAACTACGTCAGCCTGGCAGTTCTCAGGGACGTAAATGGTTTAGTTCAGACATCTGCTGCTCTGTGTTATTCGCATCTCCTGGCCAGATGGCCCCTTTAGGTTGGGAAACAGAATCTCTCTGGATCTATTTTGATATGTTAATTTCTTATTTTTTGTTCCCCAACAGAACTTAATCGAGCACCTTCTTTGTGCCACGCCCTGTGAAAAGGATTGAGGAGACAACAGTGAATGAGACCAACGTGGTCCCCGTCTTGTGGAACTTTCCTGCCATGCCACTGTCCGTTCTGAGAGCAGGAGCCCACAGCCCTTGCTCAAGGGGCATCCCTCATCAACTGTATTTTGTCCAGTAGACCCCACACAAACACACCCATTCATACACTGCTATTTAGTGGACCAGGACAGGTACCCAAGCGGTCAACCCATCAGCTGACCACTGACCCGTGAGTTGGCCCAGGGGGGAAAAGAAGCTTGGCTAGTCAGATTCTCCCGCAATCTTTCAGGGCATTACCCTGAAGAACACCACGAGAAAACGAGGCAGTCAGCCCAGGAATGAAGCGGAAAGGATGCACAGAGGCCTTGAGGAAGAACGGGGGTCACAAGGAGGCACAAGAAGCCAGGAATAAACAGACTGAGAGTCAAAAGGGGCGAGATATCTTTTCTATAGATCTTAGATCTAGATCTCTAGACGCCTGACGGAAACATTCAAAGCACTTAGATTTCTTTTTTCAGCCACTCCGCATTAGAGGCTCACACATCGATGGCGCAATCCTAGGTTAATAGCCCACCAGGCCCGGATCCAGCTGCTAGGGGGCTGCACTCCGGGCTGCGGAGCGCTGAGCGCCCTGGCGACGCAGGCGGCCCCATGCCGCGTAGACGTGCGGATAGACCGGGAACCTTCGCCCGCCGCCAGGCTCGGGAACGGGAGGGCGGCGCCCGGGGGCGGCTGTCCGCAGGGGCCGGTAGGGGCGGCCGGGGCGTGGAGGGGCGCCGCGCCCAGCAGCGAGCAGGGGCCGCAGCCGGAGCAAGCTCGGCACGTGCGATTCGGGTTCGCGCTTCAACGGGGCCGGCGCGGTGCGCAGCGCCCCAGGCAGCTCCCCGCCCGGCGCCGGCGCGCGGCCCGCAGGCTGGGGGATCAAACCCCACAACTCCTCCTTCCACCCGGCACCCCCACGTCTGGGAGTTTATCTTACAGATGTACTCACGTGCGTTAAAGGACACACATCCCGCCCTACCTGTAGCGTCTGTAACAGCAAGAGATGAAGCCACCCAAATGTCCATAAAAGGGAGAGCAGGTTTATGACACATCTTATAATGAGACATAAGCTACCGTTAAAAAATACGGGAAAAGCATTCTGTGTCAATGGAAAGATCTCTGAGCTATTTTGGGTAGGTGAAAAAAATAGAATTGTGGTAGGCTACCTTTTAGGTAGAAAGGAAAAATAAGAACATACATGCATTTTGTTTGTACATGGAGGAAGAAATTCCGGAAGGGTCTGTGTCCAAGGAACTAAGACTAGTGGCAACCAGTGAGGGTTTGGGAAGGGGGCAAATAAAGACAGAGGAGACGCTCTTCAAAAGATGTATGTTGTTTAAACCATGTGAATGTATTACTCAAAAGTTAAATTTATTAAAAGTTTTTAAATAAAAGGGGGTGGGGAGGAGCAATTGACTGTGGTAAGGAAGCAGATACACCTCGGAACGGGCCGCCTGTGGTGGGCTCCAAGCTGACTGGGCAGACTCCCGCCAGTGAGATCCGAGCTGCCCCACGTCCAGGGTGGCCCTGGGCCCCAGACACCCTAGGGCGGGCGCAGCCCCACTGCTCTTTCTGGTCTTACATTTGCTGAGACTCTGTCTCCCCTATTGTTTCACACATGCTCTCTTAACACCCCCTCACTTCACTTGGCTCCCGCGTCTCTTTCTCTCAACCCAGCCTAGCAAGGATGGCTGAACGGCCGTCCCTGCCTTTGGGCCAGAAGGGTGGATGAGGTGGAATTCTGTCTTCAGTAAGAGCGGAGAACGTGCTCCTCAAGACACCACCTTCCTCTCATAAGGGAGTCAGTTACTTACCAGGCCAGGAAGGCCCTGATTTGATTCTGGGGCTACATCTGACCCCCATGATGGCAAGTGCTTGTTGAACCCAGCCTTTCCCTTCCTTGAGATGGGGTACACTGGTCATCTCTGGGGACACCCCACCCCAAAGCAAGGCTTGGGGGAGATTTCCAAGGAAGAGAGGGGACCAGGAAAGTCACCCAAGGAGACAAAAGCAGATTCTCTGGTATTCACAGTATCAGGAGCCCCCAGGAATAGGCTTGGGTCTGAGTAACAGGAAGCCCAACGTGTCCCCTGCTTCCTATAGGTCGTTCTCTAAAGCACACATAGAGCATTGACACACGGGTGAGAGGCACCGCCTCCGATGCCTCTGAACTGCCACACCAGGCCACCTTGGCTGTGTCCCAGATGCCCCAGAGCTCACAGGACGGGTTAAGGAAGAGCCCTGACACTGATCACCCCTCTCCACAGCAGCCCCAGCCCCGGCCGCACCCCACAGCTCCACCAGACGCAGCCACAGGAGTGGAGGGACGCACACCATACTTCACTGGTGCTTTATTATACAAAAGAATCCAAATATTTACATCTCGACAATTCTTACACTTTGCACAGCTGGAGAGGGGATGAGACTGGAACCCAGAAGTGATACAGGGGGTGGTGGATAGGTGAACTTGCTACACCAGAGCAGAGGTCACTGGAGGACAGGGTGCAGAGAGGACCAAGGGTCTGGCTACCTCCCATCGCCTTCACTCACCCGGGCCTACTGCTTGCTGCCACTTAGCCCTCCTTCTCCTCCCTCAATCCGTAAACCTTTTATTTTTCCCAGAAAAGGAAAGTGGGAAGGAAGGGGGAAAGCTAGAGGTGGGGGGAGGAAGGCAAAGAGAAGGTGCAGCCAGAGGCTCTGTTAGCCTCGGCACTGAATTGAGGTGCTTTCCTTTTGGTGCTTTAAAAACCGAAGTCTGCTGTATGGGGTTCTCCACAGTCCGTCTGAGAGGAGATCATGGTCGGCACCGTTTGCCCAGGTTCAGTGCACGGAGGCCGGGAGGGCACGTCCCAGGTCAGCAGTTGCTCCTGCTTCCCCCACCGTGGCCCTTTGGACAATTCTGCCCTGCGGACACCATCTAGGAAGGTGTTGTCAGCCAAGCAGAATGCATTTACCTGCCCTGAATTATTTAGGTTTTGGTTTTGTGTTCCATTAAAGACATACAAAATCTTCGTAACACACTGATCCGAAGGGAGATAACCGTAGGAGTAACATCCTGACTTGCTAGAAAGTCAAAAACAAACAGCTCCACCACCTTATTTTGGGTAAATGTGCATCTTCTAGGCTTTTTAAATAATGAAAATAGTTCATGACAGATACCTCCACACTCCCCCCATTCCTCTCCTCTGACTGGAGGGCCAGTCTTGGCAGACGTCCGGATCTTCAGGAGTGAACAGTAAGATAACAGCAGTGCCCCCCTCGAGCTTGCAACCAAGACACACAGGCCCCCTTTCCTGGACGAGGCTGCGGGGGGCAATTCCTGTGACTCTGAGCCTCTAACACGTTCCACTCCACACTGGATCAGGGCCGACAATGACTACGTGGGGAGCAGGGTGGCTGTGAGGAAGGGCTGAGTGGCTTCCCCGAAGTCAAGGCTCTCCAAACTCACAGCACCTCCTTTCAGAGAACTCCTTTCCATGTAAGAGTCACCAGTTCTCAGTCCCCACAAGAGCAAACCCCTTCCATTAAAGGCTCTTGACCAGCCCTGGGGAACAGGGAGACCCGGGGTTCTCAAATAACCGATGGGTCATTTCGTGAGTGCCTACTCGGAGGTTGCTAGAACCCCAAGGCTCTTGGGGATTACAAGGTCAGCACATTGAGCTCCAGAGACCGTAAGCCCGGGCACCTCGGCCAAACAAGATTGAGAAATGTGCCAAGTGCCACTCGTGGGCTCTGCCTCATGCCTTTGCCCCAGCCTAGGCAGCCCTGTGGACTCTCTTCAGAATTTCCACTATGCATTGAGGGCAGCAGGGAGATAGAAGAGAAGCGGCAGGCTAAGAACTAGAGCCTGGCTGAGGACCGCGGCAGGGGTCGGGAGCAGGACGGCTCTGTTCCGTCTCGGATCCCAGACTCCGGTCCTGATGTGACTGACACTGGAGTGTTCGGGAACGATTCTTACCCTTTTCTGAGCCTCGGATTCTCTTTTTATGTCAGCAGAATGCCCCAGCTGCCGCCTCCTCCTCCTGAGATGAAAAGTGCGTGTACTTGGAATGGGAGAGGCACCCTGGAAACATTCAGAGGCGCTTGGCAAACCGTACTGTGGGAAGGTCATGACGGGGGTGGCAGGAGGGTCACTGCCTCCTGGGGGCACTCTGGGAGCTCAGATTCCTACAATGCCTCCTGCAATACAATACACACATGACAAGAAGGCGAGGCCTGGGATGTGAGAGGAGGGCAGGTTTGTGGCGGGAGGTGGCAAGGGGCATGTGATGGAGAACCACAAAGCCACAGGGAGGCGGCTCAGAGCCAGAGGGAAACCCGACAGCCGGACGTACCTGTGTGCGCCCTGCCTCGACCCAGGAACCCTCCCTCTTAGCAGGAGCAGGAGTTTCCCTGGTGGTTGGGCTTGCGGAGGAAGTGGGAGCACCTGTGGGGTCCTTTCTCCCTGCCCCAGGGAGGGGGCCAAGGCTGCACCCACTCGGGCTGCCCTTCCCCATCCTCCCCAGGGTAGGATGAAAGGGCTGGGAAGGGCAAGCGGCAGAATCCCTTCTGCTTGATGGAATCAACTTTACCCCGGGTGGAGCTCCTAGAATCAGGGCATGCAAGGATTGGTGGCATCTTGTCATATCACTGGGTAGTACTAGGTACAGAGATAAGGCCCCTGGGAGACAGAAGTGCTAAATTCTGAGATGTTAATAGGTATTCCATGAGAACCAAACAAGCAAAGACCTGTTGTCAGAGAATTTGGGGGAACAGGGTTAAACAGAGTTCAACAGACTACTGCTGCAGGAATTCTCATAGCCTTTACTGCACTAATTTGCACTGTGATTCTTCAAGAAAGGGACATTAGATGTAACATCTTCCAAAATGTGTTGCAACAGGGAATCTTTTTGCATGGCGTATCTCAAGATTATGAGACACAGAACATATTTTGTATGCCGTCCATGGGGAACGGGGGACATACCAAAATGGCTCTGTCATCCCCATCCAGGCCTTTCTCTGTGGTCCCCCTGCCCATGTTCCCTGGTCCTGGACCTGCTCAGGCCACTGCCCCAGTCACTGACTTGTCTTCCCTGACTTCCCTTCCCCAGCAGACAGATTTCCAGATTCCTGGCCCACAGCTTCAGCCATGACAGGGAAGAGGCCCAGAGGAAGTTCAAGGGGAGGCTAGGCCAAGAAGCACACACTGCTGGGGTCACGGGAAAGGAAACCAAGGGAGCCAGGGAATGGCCATCCCTCTGTGGGTCACACTGTCGAGTTCGGTTGAGTTTATTTTACAAGCAGCTATCATCCACACAGGAGGAGAGAGGATGGGAAGAGATGGGCAGAGAAGCATGGGGAGGCGCATTCACAAGTGTGAAGCAAAGGCCGAGTCAGAGGGCTGCAGGCCCCTGCCCAGCGACAAGGTCCCGCCTGCGGACGTGGCCCCCTCTGCCCTCAGCAGCAGTTCTCCATTCATGGAGGGTTGTGGGTTCCCAAAGTGGGTTCCTTCTGGCTCTACAAAATGACTGCCCTCCAGCCTGGGGCCCCCTGGCTGCTGACAGGAGATGAGGGTCACTGAGGGGAAGCCACAGGGCTCCAGCCCAGGGGGCCGCCCAGCCTCAGAGGCTTCCAGAATGAGATCCACATCAGAGAAGGCCACCAGGGCCTGGGTAGAATCACAGGAGCTCTTCTCCAGCTCGCCAGCAGCAGTGCAGGCCAGCGGCCCCGGAGCCCCTGTGCAGGGCCAGAGCCGCCGTAGGTCATCCCGGAAGTGGGGGTTGAAGAGCAGGTAGAGCAGAGGGTTGAGACAGGCAGGCAGGGGCAGCACCATGAGCAGAACAGACTTGACAGCCTCAGGGATGACGGGAAAGAGGCCCAGCATGGAGGAGAAGTTGAGGAAGGCCACGGGACAGTAGAGGAGCCCGTCGGCGAAGATGAGCCAGGCCACATGCCTCACCATGGCACAGTCCCACACAGCCTCAAAGTCGCCCCTCGGCAGGTCACAGTAGAGTTTGATGTAGGCACCAGCCACTACCAGGAAGCAGAGGGAGTTCATCATCACCAGGGCCACTGCAAAGCCCAGGGCTGCTGGCCGGCCCTCGGTGAGGCATAGGGTAGGCAGAGCAGGGAGGCCCTGTATTCTCCCACTGAGGTGGGGGACAGGGCCGCCGCCAGCCCTGCCAGCGTCAGGCAGCCCAGGGCCCCTGCTTGAACGCTGCCCAGGGAGGGGTCCTTCCTGTAGGCCTGGACGCAGGTGATGGAGATGCTGCACTGCACCGCAGCCAGGGTGAGCAGCAGGACGGAGGCCTCGGACCCCAGGATGGCCAGGAAGCCCATGGCCTGGCAGCCCAGCCCCACCTCCCAGCGGGCTCCGTACTCCGCAAACTTTATTGGCCGAAGGTCAAGGTGTCCACCGAGGCTAGGAGGCCACAGGAAATGCCAGTCAAGGTGCTGGTCCCTGGAATTGCACCCACCACGAATTTGACGGGGGCCAGGGGGCCAGGCCCACCGGCAAACACACTCAGCAGCACCAGCCCGTTACAGAGCACAGAGAGCAGCATGATGGCCCACACAGCCAGGCGGATGCCCCAGCTCTCAAAGAGGTGCTCACAGGGCTTGAAGGAGCCTGTGGAAGAGAGGGGCGGGCATTACCCACGGGCCAGAGGCTGCTCAACTCAGGGTCCTGGGGATAGGGCTAGAGGCCGACCACGTCTCTGCCCTCAGAGAACTCCCAGTCTGAGGGAGGAGGACCTGGTCTCTGAGAACTACCAGTTGGGGCTGGCGGAGAAACCACGGGACCGTACACAGCCCTTCTCCCAAAGAGCTGCAAATAGAGTGAACACTAACCCGGCACACACAGGAAAGAGAAATGCATAATAGACACAGTGTGCAGATGAGTACAGTGCAAACTCAGGCATGTTGAGCAAAGCAGTCCTCCTACAGGAGTGGCATTTGGAAGAAAGGAAGGGACAGGCTGGCATAAAGGAGTGGGCAGGGCATCAGAACTGGGGCTATGGCTGGGGGAGGAGGCACAAAGGTCTGAGGGGCTCTGTCCCCCAAGGCTCTGCCTTTCCAGTCAGTGCCCAGTGGTCCACTAAGGACCCCATTGTGGACAAGCCCTGACCAGCTATTGTACCAGCCGGGCACTGGCACTCCCCTGCCCTGTGATGAGCAGGAAGACCACATTTAATATTCACAGAGTCATTCAGTGTTTCGGAGGCAAAACATAATAAGTAAATAAAAATAGAGATGACTTCTGCAGTTTTCCAACCTGGTTCTCACTAGGTGGGTGAGATTCTGGTGTTTCCCATCTCTCACTCCAGGTTCTGTCTTTAAATCACCTTGTAACTTTGGACATTATTTCTTCATTTCTTTTGGCTTCAGATTCCTGTTCTGTAATGTATTGCTCAGTAGCTTGGGAATTTGAGAAGCTTTTGTGGGAGCATTTTTTCTGATTACCAAATAATAGATGGTAATCATAGAAAATTTGGAAAACAGAACATAAAATTAAAATTGCATATAATCGCACTGCTTAGAAATAATCATTTTGGTATGTTTCCGTCCAATTGTTTTTTTTTAAATACATACATACATATAGACTTTAAAACTAAACTGGGATTTCACTGCACATAGTTTTACAGTATCTTTTTAAGTTAAAATTTTACTATGCGTATCTTCCCATATCCTTACCCTCCTCAAAACATATTTTCAGCCACCGTGTGTGTAGCAAGTACTCTACTACGATGTAACCATAATTTATTTGACCATTTGTATAAGCTATTTTAAAAGCAAGTTCAAGTTGGACTTTGCCTTTTGGAACTCACTCTTTCACCTCATCACTGCTGATTATCAATTTTCAGAGGTGACATTTCTGTGGCAGTGTGAAGCATGTGGGTTTACAAAGCAGAAAGAAACCCAAAACAGACCACCTGCTTCCTCCAGCCTGCATTAGTGCTGAACCGGGCTGGCACTAGAGGGCGCACTGTAGTCGTTAACTCCTCCGTGCAGGTGTTGGGCCCCCTCAGGAAGCCCTTTGGGCCTTAGAGAAGGCAAGGGTGAAGGCCAAGGGGCTGGAGCTTTGCAAAGAGGGATGGAAAACTGGGAAACGAAGGTGGGGGGGGAATAGAGAAGCACACTGTTCATTGCCTTCTGTTCATTCTGAGCAGTTCCTGTCCTGCCTTCTGGGGGTGGCCTGTTAGCATTTTATACCCAAGAG